AGAAAAGAAAAGAAAAGAAAAGGAAAGGAAAGGAAAGGAAAGGAAAGGAAAGGAAAGGAAAGGAGAGGAGAGGAGAGGGGGAGTGTGCGGGTCCCTGTTGGCCGGCCCTGAGGAGAGCTGTGGGGCTGACTGAGATATGAAAGGTCTTCTTGCCCCTAATGACTGTGCTGCCTGGTAAGGCTGTGAGTCACACGGCAATGTGAGGAAGATAAGAACACTGCCAGGTCCTCTCAGTCAGCTCTCTGGGCTCATGCACATATGAATGGATGTGCTTGTGTGTGCATATGCATGAACACACACACACACACACAATCACTGTGGCACAAGTGATATGGATTTCTAAAAGCCGATACAGATTTTTAAATCACTATATTCAGTGTTTTTTTGCTAAGAATGCAATCATTTTCATTCCAAATAACAGCTGCTGAAGAAGCATGAAAAGGTTGGGACTATACGTAACTGGCAATATAATAGAATCCTGTACAGCAACAAAACAACCTTCAACCCCTCTCCAAAACAGTGTCAACAAAGAAGTCTACATTTTAAAAGTACCCTGTGGAGTTTCTGTCTAAACAAAGTTTACATTCAGGGTTTCTCACCAAAACGCATCATGTTTAAGGGATTTTCATTCTCATAAAACATTTATATCCATACCTTTCTTGGGCAAAACTGCATTGTTTCTAGCTTTCTGTCCTCTTCTTCCCTGCATGTTGCTGGTGCATCACTTTTTTTTTTGGCATGTTACAGCCATGCAGCCATACTGCATGCTCGTGCACCTGCATGTTTGTCACGCCACAAAAGATTAGAGACCCATTACCTTTAATCTTCATAAAGAAAGTTTCAAAAAACGATATTGTGGTATAGTACATTTTATGGAAATTCCATTTATAGATAGAATAACAAAACTTGAACCAGTGCTTACTGGGTCAATGTGTCAAACTTAGTAATGATGATGTATTAAAACAAATACCTCAATATCAATAAAATATTGAATGATGTGAATGTTGCTACTGGTGATTAAGCCTAAAGCCTTTTAAAGTAATTTGTTATGTGAACATGAGGACCACACAAGTGCAATAATTTCCTGTTCACTTTATTGAGCTATAACTAACACCTTGGCAACTACAATTAGGAATTGCATATCCCATGTGAACCTACATCTCAAAAACAGAGTTGTGCTCTATTGGATGTCATTGTGATCTGGATTCCCTTTTGTCAAAATATTTAGCCTAATGAAGCTTGGCTTTATCGTTAAATCTCTGAATTGGACCTAAGTGTGCAGAGCCTTTTTTCTCTTCATATTCAATTATTAATCATAGTTTTTCCCCCCCAAGAAATACTGAGCTAAAACACTGGAATAAGATGGAATCAGAAACCTTAGCTGTAATGAAGCCTTTAAGACTTGGAAAAGACATAATTTAAAGGTCCAGTGTGTAACATATAAGAGGATCCATTGGCAGAAATGGTATACAATATTCATAGGTATGTTTTCAATAGTGTGTAATCACCTGACTGCACCATAAGATTGCCAGGGTGTTGTTTTTGTTAGCCCATGTTGCCATTTTGATCATCACGTTGGAGGTCAGGTTGACTGAATATTTAACAAAATAATCTCTTTCTGACTCTAATGCACGCATACACATGGTTCTTACACACATGTAGGTGGGATTACCAAGCCTCACATACATTATACTGTATGCTCATACATATTCATAATTTTGAGTTTCTTTATTTATCTACTCTCTCTTTGTTTCTCTCGCCTACACATACATGAGCACAATTAAAAAGGAAATCTCAACAAACACATCTGTCAAGAAGTAATTTTCTATGTGCCTCCATACCCGCCCTTCCTCCTCTTTCTTTCCTCCACTTCACCTCCTGAAAATGTCCTGTTCTGCTTGGGGGTTGGTTGTGTCAGATGTGACACATTCACCACCTCGTAATTGGTTTTGTAATTAAATGTTTCTGCTTGGTTGATCACAAAGGACATAGTATTCTCCCTAATTAGGCTGAAAATTCAATATCCTAATTCTTTTGCCTTTTTTCATCTCCCATGTTGACCAAACGATTGTTGATGAATGCAACAGTCGGCCTCGCTGTCACTCACTCTGCATATTTCCGTCATATTTTCCTTTGTCCTCTGCTTTCCGCTGTCTCTTCATCTCTCCTGTATTTGCCCTTTTCATGTCTCTGCCATTCACTCCACTTGTTCCTTCCTTACCTTTCTCTTCCTATGAAAGCAAAAGAGAGCAAGATATAGAGGGTGAGACGTTCTCCAGAGGTGGCTCTGTGCCAACACATCAGGCCATGGCAGTGTGGCATGTACATGCAAACAAAGGCAATCCCGTATAGAGCGCTTTTAAAGAGCGGTTGGGCATCGTTATAAGCAGCACTTAGCGAAATTGTTTGATCAATATTACGTTGATCGTTCTCTCTAAGGTTTTCAATCGTCCAACCTAAATGCCTTTTCTGAGTTGGACAGGCAGAAGATTCAGTTTCACAGCTCTTTTTTTTTTTGGGCTCCTAAATTAATCGATTTAAAATACCACATGTGGAGTCACTTTCATTCCTTAGTTGTGGTCCCTTTTTTTAGCTCACCAATGCTTCACATGTAGAAAGTATTTTGTTTCTCTGCCTTTCATGTTACTGTACATTGGAGTCTTTGCTACTTCAAATGTTTTGTTTTTCTGGGACAAGATGAATTCAAGTTCAACCTTTATTGTATTTTTCACATCAGAGAAGCCCAGTCATTAAAGCTATCACCAAACTCACAACACGATGCTGAGGTGCAAGAAGGCCAATAACATCAAATATGGAGAAAAGAAGGTTCTCTTAGTTCCAATGCAACAATGTAGTGTTGCAGAGAAATCAGTTTTCCAGCTGTGTGTGCAGTCTTTCTTTCCCTTTAATTACTCAGGATACTTATTTCCCTTATTTTGGCATTCTGTTTGCTTTATTCTCAGTTTTTGTGAAATGATATAATTGTTGGATCTATAGTTGTGTACTGCATATGTGTACTTACGTGACAAAGCAAATATCTGATCTCATCAAAACCTTTCGTCAAAAAATGTCATCATACAATCATACAATACTTGCTTAACTGTGCTTTCTTTTCTCCAAATATCCCCTAAAAAGCCATTTATCTTACGGGCAAGCATCCAATATCACATCTAGCTGTACATCAGGTGTTTCAGGTTAAGTGTTTTGATTGAATGGTGGTGGTAATGGCGGTGGTGTGTGTGCGTGTGTATGTGTGTGTTTCCACCAGGGAATGGAGCTCAGCTGACCCCACGATCTGTAGGTCTTGTTGCAGGTCGGCTCCACCGCTGAGGCTGCCACATGGCTGACTGGCCTGGAAAAACTCTCTGGTTTTCTCTGTTTCTTCCTTTCTGTCTCTCTTTCCTTCACTCTCTCCCTATGTCTCCCTTGCTCTCTCTCTCTTCATTTTTCCCCCCATCTCTATTATCTCACTTTCCCTCCCTCTCGCCCCCTCCCTCTGGTGTCTGATGTTTGTTTGTGGCCTGTGGTGTGTTCAGTCAGAATTACCATCAAACAGGAAAGAAGGGTTGCAGAGGGACGCGGATTAGCTTTAACATGCTGAGTAAGACCACAGCACTCAGAACAGCACATTGCTGCTAATTTGGTACCGCTGTTAATTTATCCTCCACCCACATGCAGACAAACATACGCACACACTTTCTTCCTGTCATAGAGTCACTGTTTTCAGTCAGAATTGTGCATCAGGGATTTTTCTGGAAATGACAAGCCTGTTGTTAATGAGTGGAGAATAGGGCTCGCCAAACCTTTGTGAGTGTGTATACAGTAAATGTGTGTGCGTGTGGGAGTGTGTGTGGGAGAGTTCTGGCTCAATGGTGGCTCTTGGCAGGGCAATGCTCTCTTTCTCCCTGGTCGCTAACATCAGGGGACCAGCCAGGCATGTAATGGAAACTTTGGAGATTTAGAGGAGCAGCTTGCTAAATACGACCCCCTGATGTACTGCCTTAGATGGCTCCTATTGTGCGAAACCTTACTAAAGCAGGTCATCATGATAACTTTTATGAGAGTATGAAAAATGCTGTTGTTGTGCCTAAAGCAGGAAAATGAGCAGAAGATTTTACGATGTATGAACCTGTTTTTTATTTTGGTTAGACCAAACATGGGAATGCTAATTATAGCCTGAAGTAAAACCAATGTTCGTTCAGGTTTTGGGATAATGCCTCTTCATTAGAACAAACACTGAGCCCAGGCTTAGGTCAAATGAAAAGTTGTTTATCATCTCAGACTAAAGGTTGAGTTCCGGACAAAAGATGGAAAGCAGATGCAGAATGTGGAACCTTCTTGGTTTTAATGGCGTATGACTGCTGCAGGTTGTTTTAAGCAGATGTGTTGTAGCAACAGAGAACTTGTTGTCGATCCTCTGACTGTGTCTGTGTGTGCGATCGCTTGCATTTATATGTCTATGAATGCCTTTGGTGTGTCTAAGGAAAATGTCTGTGCTGAGAATCCAACAGGGCGAGGAATTTACTTGCTCAATCAACATCTGCAGCGTAGAACTAGCCTAGCCAACATCTGCCTTAAGAGCAAGAGACTGATTAAAAACCTTCTGCCTGCGTAATGTCTAGTTTAGATAAATGCTGATTCACATATGCAAACTTGCTCACAGACACACATACACACACTCCCTATCTTTCCACACTCGTTCTTCTTTAAATCTCCCCTCCATTCACAACTACGTCCATATTTGCACTCAGACGCGTGCTCCTGTGTAATTCATCTGTGCTGCAGATTAATTTTTCAGAGCCCAGGAAGCTCTGCCGCTGTCAGTAAGAGGAGCAGGAGGAGGAGGAAGAGGAGGAGGAGGGCTGCAGTCGTCTGGGTCTTGGGAAGGCTTGCCAGCCAGCACAGGTGGCGTTTTGTCTGGATTCTGCCCAGGGAGCGAGGGAGCAGAGAGAGGGGAGGGAGGCAGTGGGGGAGAAGAAGGAGGCAGCAGGACGTACAGCATTTGGATTTATATCTTATTGTTTAATTCATTGATTCACTGCTTGATCCTTTGTAATTGGTTTATTTTTTAATGTGGAAACCATAGTAAAACCCTATAATCCTGATGACTGAATTGGGCTTTGAATAAAGCAAGACCCATACCTGGAAGTGCCAAATTGCTTCCCGGAATAAATGAATAAGGGTTAATGAAAAGCATGTATGCAGCAGGGGAGGAATTTGGGCGATGTCTGTAAAGTGCAAATGGCAATCAAAACTCAATAGTTGGAATGTTATGAAGTATACAGTCCTTGTTTTATCCTGTAGTCATGAAATGTTTCATGTTTATGTGTATTTGCACTGCCAAATGTGCACATTTGTGCAGTGGTTTGGCTCCTAGTATTTACTCCCCTCTCTGAGATTCTGGCAGTGAGACTGGGTTGTTATTAAGAGTGCTTCATCTGGCTTTGTGATTACAGCTCTGACCATGCTGACAGACTGCAACCCCACCGACAAACAGCATGCAAATGCTTCTCACACATGAGCATGCATCTGTGCTGTGATACACAGATACACACAAACATATATATGCACCAGGCACATATGAACACATGCTGTATGTGGGGGAGTGACACTCACACACACAAATACTGTCACAGCCGCTCCGCAATTTGTCACAGATTGCTGCGCCATTAGAAATTTACACCTCACACTTGACACACCCCCTGCACCCCAACACACACACACACTCTTTACACTCACACATGAAAACACTTCCTGCTTTCCTGTTTTTTTGCTGTTGAAAACCGAGAACCCTGCAGGGAGTGAAGTGGGAAGGTGGAGGGGTAGAAGGGTGTAGGGTGGAGCATCTGGAATAACACTCACCCGCCTCTCATATCACTGCTTTCCCTCTGATCTCTTCCACACACACACACACATACACACGTACAGACTGTCATTTGACATTCCCGCTATCACCACCACCGCTTCTGCTCCAGCCCTACTTCTCTTTCCGATGACATCAGTGCGGGTGGTGGTCTTGAAGTAGACCCCATCTGGTTTGTGTGTGTGTGTGTGTCAAAGCTGGTGCCATCCTGGCTGGGACACTAGTAGTTTGGGGAGGGGCTTGCTGGCGGCTGCTCACCAGTGATCTACTGTACATCATCACCACTCACTCTACACACACACACACTCACACAAGACTCAGCTCTGCAAAGACAAATTGCTGTCGGTACTTTTTAGCTTTTAAAGTCAAAGGCCATGACTGGAATAATATCCATGGAAAAATGTAAATTCCTGCACACACAGATTTGCGTATCTGTTGATAGATTTGTTGTTTGTTTATTGTCATGTTACTTTTTGGTCATAAAGCCCTTGAGCCAGTGGTTCCCAACATGGGGTGTGTTCACCCCAAGTCTGTGGGGTCACACGATGATTAAAGAAAGAACAAAACGCCTTTCTATTTACGCATAAAATCTATTTACGCATTTCTTAATAACCCTCACAACTCATGTTGCCAGAATCTGTGGTGAGAGGTCACTATTGCTTCATTTCTTTAAGTCCAAAAAGAGAACCACTGCCTTAACATGTGTACACCACATGTTTATATGCAAATTGTTCAAATTTGGCCATTAATGCCCATATCTTTTTTCTTTATTTGTAAATTTTATTTTTCCTTTAATAATTGTTGCATCTTTATCTCAATCAGACACATGTTGCAATTGAGAGTGCATTAAAACTAGTTAGCAAGCGAGCAGTGAAGTCTAATCAGTTAGGATTAATTGTCAAAATACAGTAAATAGCTAAAAGCATTGAATAAACAGTTAACATAGTTGAAAATATAAATGGATAAATGGTTAAATAGTTACCTAAAAGTAGTGCTATAGGTGCAGCACTGATCATCACTTCAGTGTAAAGCGTTCATCACAGGTCACATGTGTTCATTTCTACTTTAAGCACACTATAGTTTTGTTGAGGCAGCAGATTAGCTTGAAGTAATTTTTCTCAGTTTCACTACAGCAACATTTATTACTTTCTGGCACTGTGGGGCAAAAGCAGCCATTAAGTCATGTGGTGCTTACACGACTTCTCGTTTCAGAGAATAAGCATGGAAGAATGAAACTGTGACTTTGGTTTATTTAGTCATTAAGCAGGCTTCATGTAGTTAGACGCCTTACAGTGGAGAAATTAGCCTTAAATCTTTTGCTTGTTTTAAAATCCTGAAGCTGGTTTGGATTACCGTCTGTCAGTCAGCGGCAGCTGTGCATGTGTGTGTGTGTGTTTGCATGTGTGAAGAGGGTAGACACTTACAGTCTCTGCAGGCTACGTTCAGACTGTATCAATATGATTGACAGCGTTAATGGTGTGATAATTCCACACATCAGGCAACTGAAAAGCTTCATTTCACAGAGCAGTTTGGATAATCAGTCTCCGAAAAATAAACCCAGTTTCTCCTCTATTGGCTCCATCATTTTCCTTTCTTCCCTTCACTTTCACCCCTTCTGCACATTAAGCTCTCCATGTCTTTATTTCTCTCTTTCCTGCAGGATGAATGCCGTAATTTTATGAAGGTGCTGCTCAGCAGACAAGGAGGGCTGTTTGTGTGTGGGACCAACGCCTTCAACCCACTATGTGCCAACTACACCGTAAGTAAAGGCCAAACAAGCTCGTAGCAACCATCACAAACCTGTGTTAATGTCCTTATAAAGTCATAAGGACTGGTTTGACGTAATTGATAAATGCCTTGTCTATTTGTCCTAAACATAGGCCTCTGTATGGTGCACCTGTTCAGGTGAACATTTACAGCTTTATTAGAGGTGTTTGTTCAGCACTCGATGCGGTGTTGACTTCCTCCCCAGGACTTATTTATCCTTGTTGTCTGGCAGCTCCAGTGCCTTGTTTTCCTGAGATACAACAGTTGTTATTTCTCGGTGGTTAAACTTTGTGGTCTGCCGAGCTTGTTATCATTGAGAGTCAGAGACGGATAATCAAGAAGAACACAAAGAGGAGAGAAGAGGAAGAGGAGGGTATTCAAAGAGTAAGGGTGGAGACGTGACTTGTTTGCCTGGTTGGCTTCCTTTTGCTTGTGGTTACAAACGCAAAGAAATTCCACAGTTGGAGGCAGAGGGATGAAGAAGCTACAAGTGTAAGTGTTGACTGACCTGATTCAAACAATTAGACACAGTGTGCTCTGAATATTTCCTCCACTCTGTCCAAAATATGTTTGTCAGAGTCTGAAGCTTTGAATCCTCCACCATGCAGCATGTTCCACTTCCCAACCAATCCCTGTCGTGCTCAATTACAGTAACGATTTCAAACTTGTGGAGAAAAAAAACTACACATGAATATTAATCATTGGCTCGGCTGATTTCACATCGTTCTGCAGGAATAATAAATGAGGGATGAAGGCAGTTGAGTTGAAAAAAGTGAGTGGGAAAAAATCCTTTCACTATCAAAGGCTTTTTCAGATAAGTGTTATTTTCAGTCTCTCACATTTCAAACATAGCGCAACAGTGGAACACTGAGACGTACCTGGCCCATTATCTGTCAGCCACTAATGACATTCTACGACAGTGTATAACACACCTGTCTCTTCCTGATAGGCTGTCTGTTTCTCTGGAGACTAGTTAGCGATGCTAGCTACTGTTTTATTTATAGCTGGTTTTTAATGAAATGACACCTATAGATTTCAGCCGTGGATGAGAATAAGACTGTGCTGTTGAAATAGTTTTCTTTTGGCTAAGTGTATGTGTTTGTGAATGTGTGCGTGTAACAGAGAGAGATGCAGAGATTTCTACTGTGTGTACATGTGTGTTTGTGAGTAAGAGATTGAAATCAACTTGTGTGTGAATTTATGTGGGTGTATGGACCCCTGTGTGTGTGTATGTGTGTGTGTGTGTGTGTGTGTGTTTGTCTGTTTTATTTATGCATGAGAATGTGACTCCCTTGTTGTTGCCGCTGCGCCTAATTGCCACCAGTGAATCATTAGTTTGCACTTACGGTAACACTCCCTAATTGCCATTCTTCTTTGTTGCTTGTTTTCATGCTGCTGCTGTAGATTCACTTCTATTGTTTGCTGATTGATGCGTGCATGTGTGTGTTTATGTGTTTGTGGTGTAACAGGGAGACACTCTAGAGATGGTAGGAGACACGGTCAGTGGTATGGCGAGATGCCCCTATGACCCCAAACACGCCAATGTAGCTCTGTTTGCAGGTAAGACACACCTTTTGTTTTAGTCTATACTCCCTCATCCACATGTGGGTCACACAGCACTGTGACACTGTATGCTGTCACAAATGTAGTTTTTGTGCTTTTAGTAATCACAGTGATAAATATCATTGAAGAATATAATTTTTCCTCCGTAAAGGTGTTTTTGACCCTTGAACAGGCTACATGCTGCAAGCTCAACAAGATTATTCCAGTATCATTCATCTCCTTTGTTTACTTCATTGTGTTTAAACACTTCACTATAATCAAATCAACAGTGTTCTGTGGCTAAAACTGTAGGGAGCCATTACTGTTCAGCCATCATCCCATTATCTGATATTAGCTAGAAGTGAAAATGCTGTTTTTTGCGTGGGAGTGCTGCCAAGTTGCAATTATGTTACTGCAATTACATTGTTGAGTGGTCAGTCATGTCATGTTTATGATGCAGGACTTTCATAATACAGTAACGTTCACTCTAGTTTTATTGTTTGCAGTTATGCTGCTGCTTTCTAACTTACTATTGTTTCTGTGTCTGTGTGTGTGTGTTTCAGAGGGAAATCTGTTTACAGCCACAGTGACGGACTTTCTGGCCATTGATGCAGTGATCTACCGTAGCCTTGGGGACAGTCCAGCTCTGCGCACCGTCAAGCACGACTCCAAGTGGTTCAGAGGTAGCTACTGAGATGTGTGCGAGTGTGTATGTGTGCTTCTGCATGCCTGTGAAGGTGTGTTTGTTTGTGTTTTGACAAGCGTAGGTGCGCGGACACAATTTCCTGAAGTACGTGTTCTCATCAGCAACGAGTCTGCTGTCAATGTTTCTGTCTAATGTTCTGAGTCTGGGTTCGCATCACTTACCAGCATGCAGGATCGATACATGTGTCAGTAACAGAGGGCTGAGTCAGCAGCCTGGCAGCTCTGTGTTCAGGTCACTGGACACAAAGCTGTCAAACTTACTGCTCCCTGACAGAATTTGACCATCCACATCATGGTCAAACTTAACAATGACAATGGGACAGTGAAAAAAAACCCCAGTATCAACCACATAGGTTGTAGCTTGTCCCGGGTGTAACAGCGCCAAAATGCATAGCGTGAAACTGAGTTCTCAGAAACATCAGGGAGTCATAATGCGCTTATTGTTTGGTGTGAAATCCCCTTTCACCATGTAATGAAATTAAGCAGGGCCTGTGCCTCTTTCCCACTGCCCTCATGTTACCTCGGTGTCATGGGAGTGAATGATGCATTTGCAAATGGAGACACTGTTTGCTGTATGCTTTCTCATGGTCCATGTATATTTCATCAAACCCTTTCTCTCCACACACCTCTCCTAAACACTTTCCCCATCTCCTCTCTCACTTTTTCTCTCTCTCTCACACAATATAGAGCCGTATTTTGTCAGTGCTGTGGAGTGGGGACCTCACATCTACTTCTTCTTCAGAGAAATAGCCATGGAGTTCAATTACCTGGAGAAGGTATAGAAGTCGTTCTGATGAAAACATATCCTCTTTTCCCCCTGAACCCTCAGTATTCACGCAGAGGAGCTGTTGGTCCATTCAGAGCATCTTTAAAAAGGACTGTAGAGGAATATGTGAATGGGTCGTTAAAATGCAACACCATGAAAGGATATTCAAGTCTAATATCTCTCTGCAGCTATTATTTGGATGTCAATATCAAGTCTTTTCCCACAGCTACACTGACCTTTCATCCCCATATTTGTTTGTCTGCATATCTTATCCAACAAATCAAGGACTGAGCAAACAACTCATGTCTGTATTAACCTGAGAAAAATCCTTTTTTTATAGAAACTCTCTATATTTCCCGCCCTTACCAGAGCTGGGGATACATCTTTATGAAAAAATATCACCATTAGGAAACCTATTTCTCTGATAAATTAGCTATTCACATTTGGGGAGAAGTGCTTGCACAAGGTCTCAGGCTTTGACATGTTTACAGTGAGCAGAGTAAATGGATACTTAAACAGCATCACCTTTGTGTTGATGAGGGTGTTCAAAGAAGCAATTTTGAGATTCACTGACATTTTCATGAATAATTGATATTAAATTTACCATTATAAAACAATGATCTGTCAAAACAGGGTTTTCGCATTGCAAATAGCATGCAAATGACTCTTCAGAGATCACCCTGGAGTTGAAAAGAGCTTTTAAATATGCCTTTTTGAAGATGAAACCCAAAGCTTGGGAACTATATCCTACCTCCCCAGCTAGTCATTGCAATTATATGTGAACTGTGCTTATACAGATATGTCAGTATATTGCAGATGTATTATGCACAGTCATTTTCTATTCCTACATCTGCTTCTCTGTGCTTGAATGCTCACAGGTGGTGGTGTCACGTGTGGCGCGGGTGTGTAAGCGTGATCAGGGTGGGTCTCAGCGTGTCCTGGAGAAGCAGTGGACGTCTTTTCTGAAGGCCCGATTAAACTGCTCTGTCCCCGGTGATTCTCACTTCTATTTTAACCTGCTCCACTCCACGAGCCCCATCATCAGGATGCACGGCAGGGACATAATCCTGGGGGTGTTCTCCACTCCGGCTAACAGGTACAACAAAGAAATACAAACATAAACCAGTGAAAACAAACCACAAAACACAAAAAACACTTAAAGATGTGCACTCTCAGCGCCCGGTTAGCTCAGTCGGTAGAGCTGGCGGACCATGTACCAAGGCTGAGTCCTTGGTACATGGGACTGTTACTGAATACTGCTCGAATACGACCGCGGCCCTTTGCTGCATGTCTACCCTCTCTCTCTGCCCCCCTTTCCTGTCTATCTCAGCTGTCACTATCATAAAGGCAATAAAAGTGTACTCGAGGACATGCTAAAGATCAGTTCTTTCCCCTTTTGTCAGTTGTACCCCAGAGCCCTGTCAAGTGAATTAAAGTACCCTTTTATCAACAATGCTATCTACTTAACCATTAGCTAAGCTAACTATTTCAACTGCTTATCTATTACTTTTAGCTATTTTTAAACGTTTCATTAAGTAGTAGTAATATATAATATATGGTATTAATAATAATACTATAACCAAACGATTTAGTTAACTATACTTTTAGCTAACTGTTGTAACTGTTTATCCATTTTAGCTAAAGTATATCTTATCATCCATTAGTTTTCAATATAGGTCTCAAAATCTCTGCTCACTTGCTAACTAACACTAGTTTGTCACATTCTTAACACACAGCGTTTTGCTGTTTCAGTTTTATTTAAATGACTTGGCTATTCCTCAAATCCCTACTACTAGGCTACTTGCTACCTTGCAATGTTTCCACGTACCCCAGAGTAGCAGATCCTGGTTGGGAAACAGTGTTCTAGATCAATACTCAATCTGTCTGCCTTCAAATAAGAAGATTTTTTGGTTTTCATGTTTGTGTGCATACTTGTGTTTGAGGGATTTCAACCCATGTTGGGGATTCAATCTTACTGGCTGTGTTTTTTAAGAAATTTACAGGCATAGAAACGCACCTCGACATACTTTCAGTGGAGACAGAGATAGACACCCAGTGTGTAGCAGCACACACACGGCTCACCTTGAAAATTTAGTGGACCACCGTAGTTTGTTCCTTTACCTATGAAGTTGGAAAGAGCAAGGCTTCCTACAGCCCAAACAAAGCTCCAGAGAAATGAAAGAGGCTGTGTGGTGGTACAAAGGTCAAGATTGTGGGGTACAGAGTAATTTAAGACACATGGAATGCTTTCATTGAGGACAAAAGGGTGATCTGTTGAAAGACAAGATTAAATTGAAAAAAGGTGAGAGGAGGGGAGCAGAGAGGAGAGATGCTGCCTGTTAAATGGGGGATTATTGGAGATTGGGAGTATTTGCAAAGCCAAAGACAACAAAGACAACACAAACAGCAAACCAGAGAAATTGAACCACAGAGAGAAGAACTTCTGAACCTCCTTTTGATGCACTAAATATGTATTTGTTTCACCATTAGAGAGGTACTAATCTTCTACTGTGATGCTGTCTAGTGTTGAGTCTTACATTTTCCTAAAACAAGTGAGAAAACTGCCAGTGGGATGAGATAATTCCCCTTGCTGCAAGTGCGAATAAACACAACTGTTTTCTTGATACCTGATATGACTCTTTTCTGAGTTTGAGTTATCTACTTTGTGCTTTGTTGAAGGCACTTATTAAATGCTGCTTTTTAAAGCTAATTTTCAAAGTAAGAAAATGTTTAATTCTTATTGAGAGATTAAATTATTTTATTAAGAGGGACATTGTAGTGTGTATGTTTGTGGGAACATCCACCAACATCCTTGAAGCTGCACAGGTATAAACATTGTCTGCATACTTTAGAATAAGGTATTGCTATGTTGCAGTCTAAGTAGCTTAAATTGTAGCCAAATTCAGTCAACTTTTTCTGTGATGGCCCACTTATCTTACACTGCCTGAATGGCCCTGACACCTCTTACAGTGTCTGGTAAGGCAAACACATTGAAGCAAACAAATCCTTGCAACTGCCTGTTATTTGACTCTGCTCTGGAATCAATACAGAATCTCACTTAAATGCATCCAGCAGCACAACTATCACCTGTCCCAGTGCACTAACATCTCTGTTTTTTTAGGATATAAAAATAAGGCTCTATGCCAGCTGCAGTACAGTAGGCTTCTGACCTCCCAGTAAGATACAGGAGACAAAAAAGAGAAGAAAAAAAAGAGAGATGATGAACAAATAAATGTGAGAGGAGACAAGACACAGAGGAGAATAAAGAGGGAGACAGGGAACAAGAGCAGGAGAGATGGATGAGAAACTCAAGGACGAGGAAGTCAATAATGGACAACACGTGCATCCCTCGCTCTGTGAGATCTAAAACTGTTTCATCAGCTGCATCTTATCTGCGTGTGTGGAAGGACGCTGCGAGAAGGGGCCACTGCCTGCACAGACAGATGGATACTTCACACAAACACACACACACACTCTCCCACTCTCATACACAAACGCACGCATGCACAAACACACTTACAATGGTTACCAGATAACAGCATTTACAGCAAGCCACAGAGGAGAACCAGCTGAACACACACACCCCTGCCTGGGTAAACTGCCACTGGGTCCTGTTTTAAATAACTGCCAGCCAAGAGACAGAGAAAAAAGGAGGTTTAGATGGATGGATAAGGACATGTGTGATGGAGGAAAATGAACACAAAGAGAAAGAGAGAATGTGTGAGGTGAGCTGCAAAACTCCCACTGGCCCCGTGTGGCCCACTGCGCCACACTGGCTAAGTGCTTGCCAGACAAATTGCTCTGGCTGGCAGCGTGCAGTGAAAACAGCATGAAACAGGACCTGGGAATGGAGGAATAGCTATTCTCCCCCTGCCATTTGGCCCTGTGCAGCATATATGGGACTGTAGTATGGCAATAGCGGGATGAAGTCGAGGTTCTACTGGGCCCTCCCATAGTCTCCCCTGGACACTTTGAAGTGTACTCATCTCCTCCTGTGCCCACATACTCCAGGGATAACTTTAAAGAAACATACCAGCTCCTCAAGTGTTATGGAGTTTGAGGGATCCTTCAGTCTCTGCTTCCAGAGTATAATATCTCCCCCAGTTGTCAGTTCCTTTGTGCATCCACCTCTGAAGCCCCAGGCCCTTCCTCTCGAGGAGGGATGAAAAGAAGAGCTTGGATTTCCAACTGATCACCTCTTGCACTCATGCTCCTGATGCTCAAGAGGTCAAGAAGGCACAGAGAGCAACAACAAACTCATAGGAGAAAGAACCATTGGGGAGAGGAAAAAAGTTTCTGCTTTATTTAGCAACTCAAATAAATTGGTAAATGTGGAAAGAACAGCAGCAAGATGTCAAAGGAAAGGCTTACCATCACCATGCTGCTCTGGACTAGTACTGAAAACAAACAATTCTCATTATTTCTTTTGCTATTGTTTTGGCAGCTGAAAATGTCTATTGCTGCTGGAGTAGACGGACGTGGGCTCATTAGGCTTAATGGAGCCACGCAGGAATGCAGGGAAAACATCCCATGCTAAGTAAAGCAAATCCAGTGCATCCTGAGTGTGGGAGTCCATGTTTGGTTTTGGTTTTGAAGAAATCCCACGTGACAGGGTCAGACAGCAGTATGTCCCTCTGGGAAAACACAGCAGAGGAGGGGAAATGAGGAGGACAAGGATCAGGAGGAGAACACATTTACGGTACCAGGAGAAGTGTGACACCACGGGGACGATGCACAGATGTGCAGGCTAGTCCCCTGGGCCTACACAAGTAGAGAAGGCAGGGGAGAACACAGTTTGGTATCTAGGTAGAGCTTGAGAAATGGGTATGGGAAAGAAACACCATGTGTAGTTGACAGCAGAGCCATGTCACAAGGAAAATACAGAGTTGTTAGAGAGGTGTTCACTGGTCCACATGGGTTAGGATAGTCAGGATAGGGAGAGAGGAGAATACCCGCTGGGACCTGATGTGAAAAGGTCAAGAAAAAGAATGAAGAATTAGGCTGCTTGAATACAGAAAAGGAGATCAGATGAGAGTTTTGTGGTAGAATAAAAGAAAGAAAAAGGATGGCATAAAAGTTCAGGTGTTCACATAATCTCATAAAGAAAAAAATACTACATTTAAACTGTTCAACTAGCAGGTTTGTACTATACTGTGAATGAGACTTTTTCTGACCTTTACATTCATAAACATTTGAATAGAAATTACATATCCCCAGTGTGGTTAATTAATACAATATTTCACAAGGTCTTTATTTTTATATTTATGATGAGTATGGAAAATGTCAAGTCTCTACAATGTATCACAGTTAAAACTCTCAACTCCTACGAGGCCTCATGTGTCCGTGAGGACCATGTTATTCCTAGCTGTCAGTGGGCTTGTTAAGCAGTGAGGAAGTACTTTAGACTCCACAGCAGCCCTCTCAAATGGACACCCTATGCATCTAGCCTGGACAGCCTGTCACTCAACCCCAGTCAAGGAGAAAGACTGAGGGAAGGACAAATGCCAATGGACAGAGAGAGAGGGACAAGCAAAAAGTGAAAGTAAACAAAGGAAAGTAGTCCTAAGTGTGAGGGCGAAATTTGTGTAGAAGAAAACAACACACATGTACTGTGAAACAAAAGCAGGAGAGAATACTGTGGAGTGAAAAGGAGAATAATTAAAGGAATTCAGAGAGAAAAAGTGCCCGAGGCCTTTTGGCTTACTTCTGTTAGACACACAGCCCTACACGGGGCAAACCCAGTGACCTGCAGCGAGAGAGGAAGAGAGAACTTGGGGGGAGCGGAGGGGTGGTAGAGAAAGGAAGCCAAGCTGGCACCGGTGCAGAGCTGGCAGACATGTCACACATAACATCTGGTGCCTGTGGCCCTGAGAGAGACGCCGTTTCGTCCACAGATATGCCTACAGCTCTGCCACACTGGCCCAGGTTGAGTCACATCCCTGTCTATGAATGATAAGTACTGAGGGAGACGGCGTGACCTGATCAAATGGCACATCAGGAGAGCACGGCTCCCTGCTGCAACCAAAATCCAGCCTTCAGGCGCTGCCTTCCCAAACAAACCCTTCTGTGGCTTTCAAAGGGGCACTCAACAGAAACACTGCTGCAGAATCATGGGGGCAGATCCTCAAATCACCAGTTGGACGTTTATTTTTTAAGACAAAAAAAGAGAAAAACTGCAAGAAACAGATGGGGTATGAGTGGGATTTATGTGGCAGCAGGTTGCAGGTGACTCAGTCTCTCAGTTTTTTTCAGTGTGTGTGTATCACTAAGGTATTAGCACTTAGTCACTAGCTCTCACACCACGCACACCATTAGTCACTGACGAGGACAAATTCAGAGCAGAGGGTTGAGTCTCGGAGCAGGAAGCATGGGATGTTTTTTTAAAACTCATTCCTTATCTCGTCCTTACACTGCTCTCTTTATTTCCCTGTCTCTGTAGTGCATTCTGTAGCCAAAACACAAAAACGTTGCATTAATGAAGACATTTGTGTGAACTTGTCTGTGTGTATTTCTTTGTGTGTGTGTGGCTATGGACACTTCTTGGAGCAGATGTTCTGATCCCTGTTGCAGGGTTCACACAAGTAGTTAAACAGCCTCCGAGGTGCACCGGGATTTTTACTGGAATGGGTTTATGAGAATCTTCCCCCTCTTTTTGAAAGGCAGGATATTCAGTGACTCATTTCCTATTTCGTTTTATACTCCAGGAATTCCAGCCAAGATCTTTTCATGGGTCTAATCTAGCTATTGCATCCCCTGCATGTCTATTCTTTTCCCAAGGAGTTGACAGCGTCTGTCTTATCCTGTCTTTCTTTCCATCTCAGTAACAATTTCCTTTGTGTTATAGCATTGAATGTCAAAATATGAACAGCCCAAATCCAATTTGTCATCTTCGCTGGGTGCCTGTCCCTTTCTCACATTCACAATTGACTATATTTTAACTTCTTTCCTTTTTCATGTTTCACAGTCTATTTTTCAGTCCAGGTATCATCTACCTTATCTTTTCTTTCTCCGTCACTTATTCTTTCTGCACTCTGTCGAAAGTGAAACCCACTTGATATATGACTGACAGCCACTTTGTATCAGTTCAAAGTATTTTATCAATCGACAGTCTCTGTCTTAATCTACCTCCATCTCACCTCTCTTTCTCTTTCTCTCTAGTATCCCAGGTTCGGCTGTGTGTGCCTTCGACATGGAGCAGCTGGCTGGGGTGTTTGATGGGAGGTTCAAGGAGCAGAAATCACCCGAGTCTATTTGGACGCCTGTTCCAGATGAAGTCATCCCAAAGCCAAGGTGCAGATGGCTTTAATCAATTTATGCACCTGTGTTCAGGTTGTTATCAGAGAACTGTAAGAAGGAAATAGAGTTATGAACAACTTACAACAAAATTCAACTATATACTGTTCTATAAAGATGTGTTGCTGATTGCAGTTCGTGGCCAGGGTTTGATTTCATAACAAAAGGAAATACACACTGTACAAGCAACCAGACATTTATGCCAATGGAGAAAAGTTTTAGTTGCAAGGTAAAACTGATCATACACACATGCAATGGAGAATGCAAGGAGATACTTCATATGATGTTACAGCTCGGACAAACTTTATTCAGTCAACTGAAAGTCATGTAGATGTGAATAATCCATTTTTTACAATGATGCAACTTGTTCTCTGCAAATATAAAGGCATGTCAGGATCTCACACCACTATCCATCACTTGCCAAATACTTCACATTTGAGGTTCTAAATCAAATCAATCTCTTTATTGAAAAAGGGGGTATGTGTCTGAATATGAGACACTCAGACCGTCTAGACAGCTTAATTATATAACTACATCTCTACTGAGGTCTGAAGTAGTCAAAAAGAGTATGTGACTTTGCCTCTGTACCATCTGCTAAATGTGTGCTGAAACTTGCTGTCTCCAGACCCGGTGGCTGTGCTGTTCAAGGTTCCAGGTTTAATTCCTCAAACTCGTTCCCTGATGAGATGCTCAACTTCGTCAAGACCCACCCTCTGATGGATGAAGCCGTCCCATCACTCGGACAAAGACCCTGGATAGTCAGAACCATGGTCAGGTGAGACTGAACAAGCAAGCAAGCAAGCAGCCAAACACCAATCCTGTCTCCTGGTGATTATGTTTGCTAATTTGCATCAGCAAATAGGTTTTGAGAGAATCGTAGTGCCACTTCAATTACATTTCTTATCAGTGTAATGTGGAAACTTATTAAGTGAATATATCTGACAAGTTACAGCTTATATTTGCAAAACAATATAATTAATTTATATAAATGAATATAAAGCTTTTCATTGATATGTTTTAGGTATTTAGAGCACTTAGGAATGATTGCAATCTTGGTTAAATATTGAAAAAGTCAAGTCTTGAAGCTCAAGAATGAGAGTGTGTTTACTTTATTAAGTAGCTTATCTTAACTTTGACCAAAAGGGCCACTGATGCCTAAACCTAACCACACGTGGGACCCAGGATGCAAACTCGGGTCTCTGTTGTCAAACTCCTGTGCTCTGTACGCCAACCATCCAGCCTGAACACTGCCATTCAGTACTTCAGATATTATCATTGAACATAATCCAGGCAGCAATTATGTTTCCCTCAAGAAATATTTGGCAAAACAAATTAATATACAAACATAATTTCTATAATAAAGTAGGGTCTGTGGAGGGTTTTAGCCATCAGACAATGAATGCTGGAAAGTTTGCTAATATACAAATGTTTTTTAAGAACCTTAATTTGAACTCACTTACTTTGAAAGGGGCCGGAAAATAAAAAACTAGAAATTTAAAGTTGACTTGATTAATAAAACTTGTTTTAATTTAAATATTTACATTAACTTATTGATATTAGTTGATAAATAAGACTCAGGTTGCAAACATACGCAGATATGTATGCAAACACACACATGATCAGTCAGTTTGGGCTCCTTCTGTCGAACTTATCCTGGTTGGGTATAAAGCCTGTGGTAGTAGAGCAGCTGTAGCTCATCCAGTCTCACATAAATGCATGCATGCCTCTCTCTCTCTCTCTCTCTCTCTCTCCACTATCTACCGTATGGGGTGCCGCTGTCGACCAGCCACCAGGGGATTACGGGGACTGGATGTATATGGAATATTAAACACCCAGCACAACATGGCTTCTATTCTCGTCTATTGACTCAGACATGCAGGGCTGTGTGTAGTTCAGCAACACTCTGCTATTGTTCCAAGACGAGCCCATTTACTTGACTGATATTATTAATGACTGAACGTCTGGCGTAATTAGTTTATTATGCAAATGTGATGAGCAGTTTCTTCTCAGTGGAATTCATTTCATTTTGAAGTGACTCAAGAGAAAATGGCATATTATGATGTAAATTCACAAGAGTCTGTATTTTACACCTAAACCAATCAGTTGTAATGCACTTAAATCATAAACTTGCCTCCAGGAACTACTTGAGTATGCTTTTAGCTTTCATAGGAGAAAAGTCCCGAATGAGCCGCACAGCTCGGTGACATTAATGTAGTGCTCTATCTCTCCTGTTGTGCAGGTACCAGCTAAATAAGATTGTGGTGGACACAGAAGCAGGGCCTTATAGAAACCGGACCGTGCTGTTCCTCGGGTCCAGCAGAGGGACCATCCTCAAGTTCCTCATCATGCCCAACCAGGACAACACCGTCACCAATAGCAACATCTTCCTGGAGGAGCTAGAGGGATTCAACCCTGATAAGTAAGACGTCAAAGCGAACAGGAAGGAAATTGACATATATTTTGAACTGTTAATGGCATCTTCAACACATTTGGAAATACGTTTCTTTTTCTGTTTTCTTGCTGAAGATTAATAGCACTTTCATGTCTGTAAGCCTTGGAAGACTGAAACAGCCTGGCTTTGTCCAGATGTAACAAAATCTATGTATTAGCACCTCTAAAGCTCACTAATTAAAACATTATATCTAGTTTGTTTAATATGTGCGAAGACCAAAGTGTAAAAACATCATGTTGAGGTTTTAAAGGGGTGTTATGTGATTATTTTTCCAGTAACTTCCTGGAGTCTTGTCGTCACTGTGAGGTTGTTACATGACGTGTTAATTAGTGAGCTTTTTTACCTTTGGTTAGATGCAGGCTCACTGTTTCCACATTTCCGGTCTTTATGCTAAGCTAAGCTAAGCGGGTGCTTGAGTTAGCATATATTTATTCATATTTATTTGTACAGCAATAAGAGTGGTGTGTGTGTGTAACAAAAAAACTATTACATAACAGCACAAATCTGTATAGTTAGAGAGCCTGATGTTAAATATCTCGGCAGGGGAGGTAAAGAAAGGGTTAAATGACATCCGAGGTTGATGTATACACAGCGAGGGGAGCTGGTAGGGAGATACTCCTAGAAAAACAGTCACATGAAAAAAAAAAAAAGCATGACATGTCCTCAAAACATGCCGTGTCCTGAATTATGCAGAAAACCTCACCTACTCTTCGAGAGATACGCATAATTGTGCAGGAGCTGAGACGATGCAACCCCATGCGGAGAATACAAATAGGGCAAACAGAAAAGAATAGGATTAGAGGCTAATATTCATTATCAGGAAATCTGAACATCTTCTAATGAGGTTGAGAGACACTGTAGAACGGCATTAGTGGAAAAACATCAGAAAATAATGAAATGTTGATAAAATCACATTATCCTTAATCTTCACAAAAATGACAGGAAAAAATGACCCCTTATCTTCAGTCTGAAGCTAAATTATATTTAATATCTGGATCTTAAAAGATTGGAGTGGATTGGGCTTCCTGTCCCTTTTCTAATTACCATTTTGCATGAGGCAGTCAGCCTTGAGGTTTCATTGGATGCACATCACTACGTAATGAACACTTGGTACAATGCCTTTTCAATCTTCATTTTTGCTTTTGTTCTTTGTTGAGATGCAGTGTTCCACATAGTGGACGGCCGCAGGGTAGAATATTGTCACACAGATGCAGGCAGATTTTGGCTGGTGATCATCTTTCACCAAGGCTAATTAGAGGCCTTTTTTTAAAAGAGAGTACATGTTTCTAAACACTAGTTTTCCGACGTGGTAATTGTGCTCTCTGGTACATATACCTTTTTGGCAATACGGGGAAATACAGGATTATTTCTTGAACCAGCTAGCTGGAAACACTCTTTCTCACTACAGTAGAGTCCAATCTAAATTAGTTGTACTGTTTCACTTCTTATTTAGTAATAAACATCCTTCCCTTCCCAACCCCTCCAAAATTTGCACATCAATTTGTGTCTCAGCTTATTTGTTCTGCTTCAGACTTGACAAAATGAGGGATAGTGATGACCGGTGAAATGAAGAGACTGTGTGATGAATGAGCTACTGTGGACTGGAGCCAGTATGTGAGGGATAATTTGGTGTGCATGGTGAGCCCACCGGGAGGTCAGTGACAGTCCAGCTATCACAGCAGGCACCCAGCTAAGAAGAAGAAGACAGAGCACAGCCACATCAGGGTCTTTTTATGCTCCAGGCCAGGCCACCCCCACCCTTACCTTACATACACAGAGAAAGCGATGTCTTGTGCCCTGTAATAACCCCAGGGTACACAGGAGCAGGGCCTCTAACACATCATCATCGTCATCTTTTAAGAAGTCAGCACAGATAGAAATAACTGGTTTGTGATGGGCTGGGTACCATAATGACCTGAAGGAGATACAACCCTAAAAGAGCCTGTGTCTACTCCTATCTTCTCTCTGATCTTGGTTCTATATCGCTTATTTTCTTTTCATGAGTCTCTGTGTTTCTCTGCCTTTTTCCCTGCATTTGTTACTTGTTTATTCTATTTTTTATTTATTTCTTTGCTTTCCTTACGTCTCCAACCCTGCTTTCCCCTGCCTTGTGTGATATTGGCTGTGAAGAATGACTCACAGCTTGGCCTTAGCAGAATGATAGATTCTTCTTAATGACTGTGGGTCCGCCGCAATGTTATTACCATAAACCATCCAGATACAACTGATGCATGAGTGCACATGTGCATAAAAAGGTATAAATCCACTGCACGGAGGCAGGTTGGTGCCGGCTATCGTAGCCCTAAGTGCCAATTAGAAGCGATTCAGTTCCTGGCTGCTGTTTTTTGATGGCCAGCCCGACCTCTCAAACCTCCAAAATCAGCACAGTGGGTATTTGGATTGACACCGTCACATCTGGCTACACGGATTGGCCTCTCGCCGCTTTCACTTTTATTATGGCTTTTATTTATAGAACTGTTTATGTTTGGTTGTGTTTCATGGGGAATGTTTTTTCCCTGCTGTAATGCTCAGAGTGAGGTCAGAGGTTTAATGTGCAGTCTTGGTCTGGTAATTGAAATTGCCTAATGCATTTTTGTTTTTTCTGTGTGCCTGCCTATTTGTGTATGCGTGTGTTGCAGGTGTGCTGAAGACTCTCTGCAGGCCAGGCAGCTGTTGTCTCTGACTCTGGACCGAGCAAGCCACACTCTGCTCTTGGCCTTTCCCTCCTGTGTAGTCAGAGTACCAGTGGCACGGTGCCAGCTCTATTCCCGATGCATGAAGTGAGTCTGCACCAAATACTATATGTAGGAACATGAAAGGGCAGCAAGGCAGCATAACAAGAAGTTAGGTGACTGTTCAAGAACCATCTGGTCTTCACAAGTGTCCTTGAGCCAGACACTGTGAACCCCTGCCAGCCCCTGGCTGCTTTATAGTGTACCTGACCTGACTTTTCCTGCAATAATAACCATACTACAACTTAATAACAACAGTCACTGTGTCCTTGAGTAAAGTAATAATCTGATAACTGCTTTATAATATGGAAATGAGTCAAAATGCAATAAAATGCACCAGTAAATTGGAGGGAAATATAATAAAAGCTGTTAGTGTACTACATCGCCATCAGATATAATGCTGTATTATTGCCATAGCCTGCAAGGTTAACTTTATGTACCATCATTTTAACAGAAAATAATAATAGTAATGTTTACTGACATAACATGGCTAATAAATGATAATACTACATGATAATGAAGCTCATGGGAGTAGTAAGCATTTAACAATTTCATGTAATAACTGAATTATATTACTGTATCATATAATCAGTTGTAGTATAAGGTATAATCAGTAGTGAATGTGTTAATGTGATATTATTCAAAAGATTATATTTCATCGCATCATTCAGCAGTTTATAAGATTATCAGAAGCTCCAATGAAGTTGCTCATTTTGTTATTCTGGCAGCTCACCAGCCTGAATGTGTTTAACTTAATCTGAATGTGCAGCAGGGCATTTCTGAAAAAATGAAAAAAAGTCCACTAATCCTCCATAATTAAACATAAAAATGCATATATTCAAAGTAATGATATTTCACCTGCATACACCCACACAAGCACCGTAATACAGACTCGCTCTCCCTCGCCACACTCAACGAGTCTCAGTGCCTGTGGCTGTGGCCCGTTCGGGTCCACTTACACACTAACACATACCGGTACACACACCAGGCGTGGAGTGTGTTCACTGAACCAGGTGAGTCATACAAGCGTGTAATCCAGAGCACATTAAGACACAGTCACATGCTTTCTGAGGTGTGTTTAGTGTGTGCGCATTTTATGTGTTTAGATGAGAGATTAATCTTCTGTGTGCAAGTATGTTGAAGGTTTCTTAGTCATGCTTCGGCAGCTTCAGTTCTGGGTTTTAACCTGTGAAGAGTGTCAGTCTACATGGTTGGCTTATTTTTTTCAAAAAATCTTTAACATTTCTAATAAAATAAACATATCATCACATAACAGTACGCAGCCTTTGAGATCCTTTTCCTAGAGTGAGGAAATATGATGACAATGACAATAACAACAAAAGTACATAAAAGCTGAGGTTTTACATATTATCCCTCAGCAGCAACTAATCCCTTTTAGGCTAATTCACATCCCTGCCAACCATTTTTCAAAATATAGCACAGTTTTTGATTGATTTCCTACCTTTCAGGCATACAGTAATTTCTATTCATGACACTAGTGCTGTATGAAAATTAACTTAGAGAGACTGGAGTGAACACCTCATTGGCTTTTTGTTTTTTCTAGAATTACATTATCACTGTGTAGCAGTGTAAGGGTTCATTTGCAAAAACAGATATCTTTGTTTTTATTTATTTATTTACCTAAATCATGTTTTTTTGTGCATTCCAAGGAATATCATTTTAACTAGTGTTGGTTTATTCATTTTAAGACTGGCTTTTTATTTGTTTTTGTCTTCGTACTTGAGAGCATTTCAAAAACTCTACTTGCTGCTGCAGTCAAGGACATTGTGACATCTAACATCTATATAATATTTAAGAGATGGAGTTGAAATATATCTCATTCATGAACCAATTTGTCTGAAAATCCAACCCCAGAGACCCCGCAAGCAACATGGACACTCAATCTGTTACTGTTACCTGCACTTTTATTCTCAATCTGGAAAAAGCTTTTTTTGTATATTATATTATATTTTGTATTTGTATTTTGCTGTTTCTATAATTGGGAAATAAGTTTTACACTTAATTCCTAGTAGTTTAATCTACTAACAAAGTTTTTTTTATTGGTCCTTTTTCAGCTGCATTCCCTCTTTACCCGATACAAACTTTCACAAAGAAGTAAAATATTCGTTGTGATGAATAACATTATCAGTTATAAGTTTCAAGTCTGAAGAAGTTGGAAATTAATAGTTTCTGGAAAGTGGGAAATCTGTGTTTTAAATCTGTGTCACACATTGGGAGATGATAATGATGTTAAGCACTTATGTTCATGGTTTGTAACTTTTTTTCAAAATTTATGAATATGACATATGACGTGATCCTGACTTTTAGTTTTAGAACTAGACTAAATAACTAATCGGGTAACAAATAAACAAATAAGTAGCCAAGATCAAACAAATCAAGTATTTAACTTTTAAGTTACGCAAGGGGAAGTTTAAGTGAAATACAAATTCTTTAAAGTTCAAGAAATTAAGTTAATTTTTGTGTCTCTGCAGGAACTGTATTGCCTCCAGGGACCCTTACTGTGGGTGGACCAGAGGAAGCACCTGCTCTTTCCTCAGACCTGGGACCAGGTATGACACCTCTCCTTAAAACACACTATGTCTGCACCACTTCATATGGTATACAGACACTGCCCTGTGTCATTATACTGACACTTTTATTTATTCTTTGTCTGTTAAGTCCATCTGAAGTTTTGCATGCTGTTTTACCACCTTTCTGTGTTCTCTGTCTTTGATCAGGCTGTTTTTTTAAATCTATTTTTGATTTGATTTGATTTATTTCTACTTTTATCATTCCTCTCAAGGTTATTTTTCTGACAGCAGACCTAGCCGACCACCCATAGATTCATCACATGTATTATTTATCTGGTTTGGAAGTCCTTGGTTCTATTTGCGACTATTTGAGCTTGAGTAACATCTGTGCCTGTCACCACTGTCTGCTCTGTGTACACTTATTGATTCAAGATGTCTGCCGCTGCTGTTAAACAATACTATGTTCTTTCACTTTGCTTCTTACGTGGTGGCCATAAAACACCGTGCAAAGTTTTGAGTTTGTTTCTCTGTCCTGTTTTGTTTGAATGTGTGTGTCTGCCCGGATGTCTGGGTTTGTGTGTGTGAATGCAAGAGTATGTGTGTGTTTTTGTGACCTCTCTCTCCTCCTGCTACTGAAACGCGGCTGTCTATCTTGACAGCTCACCTCCAGTCGCGGCTGCCTCCCTCCAGTGAAATCAAATCTCTCTTTAGTCAGGCTGCTTATTGAGTTAGGGCTTCAAAACACAGGTGTAGTGCCAGCAAAACAGACAACATGGGCCTTAAAGACCACCTCAGGCTGCCTGCTTATGCTATTAAAGGCCTCTGTGTTGGTCCTGATTTGATTTACCAAGGGCGGTCAACTTGGCAATCGATTTTGCATTGAGTTACTGTGGATTTCCTCTTTGTGGACAAATGCAACCTCTCTTTGCAAACTGACGCCAGAGGAGAGCTCAACCGTTATATAACAATATATTGTAGTTTGGACAATTTCTGAGGAAAAGATGTTTTGTATTATTTATGAAAGTAGTTGTTGTGGTTGGTTTTATTGTTGTGCGTATTTCTGATTTCCCACATTTACTTTGTTCACTGCTGTTATTGCACTGCTAAACAAGGTGAGAAGAATAATTTCTCACTATCTTTAGCTTCTGCCAGTGAGAATATGGTGACAAAGCAACCATTAGTTTTAGGCAATTGTTTCGAGAGTTTATCCTTTACTTTTAACCAACAATTTCAACCATTCATGCATTAGGTTTAACTAATCATTTTTAATCATTTCATCTTTAGCTTACTCTTTCAACTTCTCCACTCACGTTCTGTTATCACTGTCTACAGTACAAGCACAAGACTCATTGCCACAGGACCTAGCATGAATAAGCATATGGTCTTTATCAGTATCAATGACGTCTTTCAATATAGAGCCAATGTACCTAGGAAAACATGCTGGAAATAAAAAACACTATTAAAAAAAAAAACACACACAGACCCACAGGCAAAGCTAATGTATACAAAGTAAATGACCTACAGTTCGTGAGAGGCAGCCAACTGAACACAAACCATTATTCTTTATTAAGATGACAACCGCTGTAGGTTCACGGGGCACTTGGATTCATTTGTCACCGGGATTTCTAGGCATTAAAAGCACGAATGTTGGCTGCACTACTGCCTGAGCCTTTAGCTAATTGCCAAATGCTTTTCAGTCACTTGTCCCAATGAGCTTTTTCCAGCATCCTCATGTAGTTTGTGCTCTGGTTCTAAAAAGGTTGTTTGTAGGTCAACATTTGATCCAGTGTAACAGCACTATTCATGCCATGTAGTCTAGAACTTTAAAGGTGTCCTCAGTGGCTCTGACTGAGTCATCAGCACAAAGAATCAAGCAAAGTAATAATGAATGAACAATGAAAATCAGCACATCTTTGATTTGTTCTGTCCTATGGAGCCATTATTGTAGTAAAACTATTTACAAATGTGACTGGAGAGTTGTGTAACTGTAACAGATTTGTAAATGTGTAAAAAAGAATCTACAAATGTGTATTAGATTCACAAATGTATTGAGATTTGTAAATGTGTAGACAAATCTGTGAATGCAGACATACGTATTAATAATGGCTAAGAAGTCTAAGTACTAGATTTGCTCCAAGAGCTGGAAATACAGAAAACTGATTAGTTACAACTCAGGCGGGACTCTCAATTGGCTCTTTTTACACTAGACTTTTGCTATACTATCCCTCCATGTCAACTAGAAAATGCATCTTTTGTAAGTAAATAAGATGTTGGCTAGTATTCAAAACATGCTCCATACCCTGAAGTATTTTAACTTTAAATAAGCTCTAATTTCTCTAACTGTTCCTTCCTTCTTACGTAGGCTTACATTGAGTTATTTGAGTATCTCTGCTGCCAAGTACTCATTGATATGATGGATCCTTACTAAAACAGGTAGGGTTTGATCAAAAGTGTAAGTCAGGTGTCAAACAGATTAAATTTGACAGATTTTTTTTTTTAATATGTAAGTTTTTCAAAGGAATAGCCTGACAATTTGGGAAATAGGCTTTTGTGCTTTTTTTGCTGACAGTTAGATGGGCAAGAACAGTTCCAGCACTCCTGCTCCTGGTAAAACACTTTGACCTTTGTGTGGATAAGACAACAGATATAACGTTTTAATTAATGATCTTGAGATGAAAATGGTATCTCATCTAACTCAACAAGAAATATGAAACATTATTATTATACATTAACTATCCCTTTAATATACTTGTAAATCAAGAGATGTGGAAAGTAGTCATTGCCTGCCGGCTGGCAACCAGCTGGCAGCCGGCTCGGGTGGGAATTCTGCTGGATTCTGCTACATATCATATATATATCCATTCATTCCATTCAGATAAGCAAGGGCTTGTCATGGACCACCTGGTAATTCTAGGTGGCTGCATCTGTAGTTAGATATGGCCATTAAGAATAGTAGGCTACTGATTTTAAAATAGAAAATTTAATTAGAAATTAGAAAATCAATTATAAAATGGATTACATTATGTAATAATAATTGTAATACATACATTATTATCATCTACAGTGCTTTATCAAAATTAGAAGCTAATATTTTTTCATCTATTCAGTATTAGAATGTGTTCAAATGTAATTTAATTTAACTTTCATAGAGTTGTGTTGTTACACAGGCGTGTTTTACTTATATCCTTTAGTTACAGGCATTTCCACTCACTTTCCATGTCCTCATAAAGTACTCTGTACTCAATGAAGCTATATATGTTTGTGCTCACAAACACACACAGACTCACAGAGCCTGTCCTTTGCAACTTGCCGCTGTTTTCCCTTATATGAGCCATGATTAAGAGCAGTTGTGTTTTTCTTTGTGAGCACCTGGTCTGTGTGCTGTTCTCATTTCCTCTCTGCTTCCTTACTTCATCATATGTTATTGTCCTTTGAGTTTTCCAGCTCCCCTGTCGCCCAAATGGGAAATGAGTTTTAAAGCACGGGGATAGAGTTGTAGAAATAAGATATATCATAATTTCTCGAGAATTATACAATATGAGTTTGTGGTTGAAGGTTGTTACGTTTTTCATAAAGGTATGGTAGGTTTTTCATAAAACTGACATGGTGATCTTATGATGTATTTTTTAGAGAACCGCTCTCCCTTAAGCTCCATATTAATGATTAAAACAGATTTTCTTGACTCTACTCTAACTCCTTAATACTTGAAGACATGAAATTTGTATTTACTCCAAAGTGAAGTATGCTAACCCAGAAATATTTGCAATTCAGTGCATTAATTAGCTTAATTAATGACCCTGCAGGCATAAGTGGTTATCTCTAAATTATAATGGTGATTATTGCAGGATATTAGGCAGCTCAAGGGCCTCTTGAGTTATTTTGCGGTTTTAATTGTTTTTTTTTTAATTCCTACTTTATCAAAATAAAAACAACGAGTTCTACAAACTGAGTGTTAAAGGAGCTTGTAGAGATACACGCTCCCTTGTCCTCTGCTGTAACATTGAGATAGTTTTCCTCTATCAGAGTGGATCTGTGCTGTGTGTCAGTGGCCGAGTTGCTGTGCCTCCGTGTCTTCTGATTAATGACTGTGTCTCTTCTCCTCTGCAGACTGCCGTTCGAGCAAGATGTTGAACAGGGAAACGTGGCCCACTTGGGTGACTGTGACGGTAAGAGGAGTGATTCTCAGTCTCTGCGTATGTGTGTGTGTGTGTGTGTTTTTTTTTGCCCACAAGTGTTGAAGCTAATAGCTCTCTTGTCTTTGCCCAGATCCTTGTATAAGTTGTGTATCTTCCGGGCAAACAACAATACTGTAAAAGAGAGGGAAGAGCCTGGTAGTTTTTAGTTTATATACAGGGAAAATCCACAAATAAACAGAGACAAGTCCCAGTTCACCTCACTGCTCTGTAGTTTCTCACTTCTCCCAAGAGTAACCACTGAGATCCAACACAAAGACGGTCTGCTAGTCTCATTTTGTCTCCAAGCTGGCAAGAAAATCTCTGTGTATGTTTTAGCTAACTTTGTTCTTCTCGCTGTTTACTCTGTCCTTACTTGTATGCTATCTCTGCTTTGGTCTGGTAGATTTTTGTTGCATATACATGTGGTTAATTATATTCAACTCTAGCTTGAATTCCCCTTGATGTTTCCTTTTTTCTCTCTCCATATCATTATGAAAATAGATGTGGTACAGTACACAGCAAAGCAAAATCTCTATTCTAGATACACAGAGGTTTTTGGATACTCCCATGACACATCCTCTCTTTGATCTGAGCACTAATTCCAATGCGTGCAAATTAATCCTGTGCTTCTGAAAGTTCCCCGAGTTCATGTGCCGTGCTCCCTGAGAAAAGAACAGATAAATATTGCATAATCGGAACTTGCGTACAACTCTAATCCTGTTTTAGATGGGTGCTCTGTTTGATGCTGCTCTCTCACTTCAGGTCCTCTGACCACTGAACCACAGGGGATGGTCTCTGTAACTGATGGTGCTCACTCTATGCATGGCGAAGTTAAGCTAGTTATTTGTCTTCATTGAGCCCATGTGTAGCTCCTTATAGAACATGTGGGGGAACTTTTTCAAGCTGTTAGTCCCGCTCCCGAAGAGAAACCCATGATCTTCCACAGAGTTTATTTTATTCAAGACAGATGATGTTATCCATGTTTCCTGCTTTAGATTTCTGCAAGTTAGTTTTTGTAAAAAATAACATGAAGGAGATGAAAAATATGAGAAATGTCTTCTCCACAGGGGAACTCCACTTCAGCAAATACACACGTTTGTGCAGGAAGCTTGTAATTAAAAGTGCAACTTTTATGATCATTACTCCACTTCTGTACTACACCAGTGGGTGAGAGATGAACATAATTATTCTTGCTCACTGCTAATGGAGTGTTTTACAAGCTCTAGTCTCAGATCCTCTTCTTATACTTGTTATATCTTGAACTCTGGTACAAGGTCTCGGGGTCAAAGCGCGTAATGACACTGATACTGAAGCTGTACGCTATTCCACTCACTGCACACTGATCATCAACGCACTTCTCCCTAATCTACTATGTCTTGCATTGTACCTCATTTACACGCAGTTTTTTAAGTGTCTGCCAATTGGATATCCTGCTATTTCGTAGCCCATCTCTTATGGGATTAGACCGACACCTTTACAAAACATGAATAGGAACCAGATTCCAGCTGTGTTGGTTACAAATCAGCCCGAGTGATCGCGTGAAAACAAATACTAATCCTTACAAGGTTAAATCCGCTAAATAACTCGCTGATCTAAATGTCTTATATTCAAACAACTATTTCAGGTCATTGTAAGTCGTTCATATGCATCAGCTCACTTGTATCTTTTATGTCACTAAACAAAAGATCAGAAAAATCTAATACAAAGGACGTGAAAAAACACAACTAATTGATTCTCATCTTGTATTCCCCCTAGATCACACACTGGGCCAATTCATTGTTTTTCTTCCAAAAGCAGCATACTGACCCATTTCTTTATGAAAAGGCAGTATACCAGCAATTTGCTCAGTCATTGTTTTTCTTAAATTATATCACCAAAAAACACTATTTTCCGTTTTATTTTTATTATTAGTTTTAGCAATGAAAACAAATCAGTTTTACAAGCGGTGTAGTTTTTGGCATTAAAAGTAAATTGACTACGACAGTATGAAAACATGAAAATACGAAACAGAATATAAATTTTCAGATTTGTACACATGAAAGTGTGCCTTGCCCTGATGGCTGCTCCTTTTGGACTGGTGTCGGATAGAGAAGTACCGCTCTGCCCCCTGTCTCGGGCTTTTGAGGAATATCTGAGGCGTGTTTGCTCCTGCGTCTGATCCCGTCATGAAATATGCGCGAGCTGAACTCTGTTGACAGAGGTGAGCTCTGTTGTCTCTAGATGAACGAGAGCTGCTGGATTGGCACGGCAGGAATGTGAGGCAGCATCTATCTGACTGCTGCCACCAACATTTAGACAGCACTTTGTCTCAGGTATTGTGATGAACTTGGTGCCGCTGCCTATCTTTTCATCATATCTCTTTTTTTTTATTTGACACTTTCATTGTCTCTGATATGGATGCTTTCCTCAGTGTTTCCTGTTCCTAGTTAACGCTGAGTCCATCTTTCTTTGTCTTCCTGTAAGACAAAGATTCTTTCAGCCATCTGCAGACGCAATATTCAGTCAGAGGAAGACAGAGAGGCGCAGCTTCAATGAGCTTGTTATGACAAACTGTCACTGACACCGTTAAGACTTTGAAAAGTGCCTGCACACCCTCTCTATATGTGTCTGTCAGCATCTTCCTCTGCGCTTCTCTTCACGTGCCTTAATCTTCACATACACAGGACACATACTGTACATCTGTGTACTTACAAACACACACATATGCTCACACACACTAACACAGACTCTTCAGGGACTTGGATTGTCGAAATAGACAGAAGGCTTTTGGTTGCTGAATATTTCATATCTCTATATTGGACTCATTCCACCTGTCTGTATCTTGACCCAGCAGATGGGAGGTGAGATATGGTCTGGCCTACCTATCTCTCTTTGGGGAAATTCAGCAATCTCATTTTAACTCTGCCTTTGCTTACTTCTTTTCTCAAAGAAGAGTCTCTCTCTGCAGCTGCATATCAAACTAAATTTTCTCACTCTGGCCTCCAGAGAGATCAACATTCACACACACACACACATCTTCAGCAGTCAGTAAGCATGAAGAACAGCTTTTTTTAATCATGGTTAGGGTTAGGCATGAGGTAATATTAAGTGTCACTTAAATTAGTGGTTCCAAACCTGCGGCTTGGGGTGACTCAGCAGGTCACAGGATAAATCTGAGGGGTCATGAGAGAAAGGTAAGAAGAAAAAACATTGTTCTTCAACAGGAATTAATATTAATTTTACCGACTTTTCTTTAATCTTTGCTATTGTCTCAAAACAAGTATTCAAATAAAGAATCGAAAAAAGTTTACAAGGGAAATTTCATCTTTGGTAGGGCTATTGACAACTTACTAGTTCTAGTGGTATGCAGCCAGGATAGCATTTGTTTTATTTGCTCTGGTTTTGAGGGAATATTTCTTGAGTACAAAGCAGCTCCAGTGAAATTGCTTCTGGAAAGTTGACAACAGCCCTACGATTAAAGTGTTTTTCACAGTTTGTCACCTTTTAAATATAAAATAAATGGATCCCTTTTTTTTTTTTTTGCATCTAATTCTTTCTTTTTTGATTTCGCTGGCATTACTTCCCCAAAGTTATTTTTCAATGCTGTGAGCAGTAGTACCAAAATTTCATTCACCTCAGTTGTGTCGGTGGTGACATATCTGAAAACCTGGCCAAATGAAAAGTCTGCATGAAAGGATAGTGCTAGAGGCACTGTAAGTGAGAGAGAAGTTGTTAGTAATTTGGATGAATTGGTTCTTTAAGATTAAGGTCAGCCTGGTTATGTTCAGTTTTTTAACAGGAAATTATGCTGGTTCTGGCTTTGCAGCTTGTCATAAAAAGAGCAAGTCATTTATTGTGCCATAGTCTTTGCTCCTCTGCTGCTCCAATGCCTCTCTTCTCCCTCATGCTTCATCTCTCTCCAGTCACAGTCAGTGCTACACTGATTTCAGAGCAGCCTTGTCGTCAGACCTCAAAGGGAGATGGATGGACGGCCTTACTTAGAGCCCAGCTAACTGCCTCCCCTTTCTCCTTAGCCAGAGAGGAGCAGTTGCTGGAGGGAGAATCGATTTTCATCTCTCCTCGGGCTGATGGCAGTCGAATAGATATCAAGGGTGATTCTGCAAGGGGAAAGGAATGGGGCTGAGGAGAGCAGGGATGGGGAGGGGAGGGGAGGCCGGGCAAATCAGATCCAGAAGAAGAGAGTAGAGCAAAAAGAGATTGAGAGATCATAGGAAGAAGGCAAACTTTGAGGATGGAAAGGGTGAAATGGTTCAGGGGATCAGAAGTGTGGTGTCATAAGGGCGAATAAGAAGAAAGCAGAGTGATAGGAAGAGAGGGCCGAAAGAGTGACGTCAGAGGAGGGAAGAAATGCGAGATGGTGGGGGTAATCACATAGGAAGCGGAGAAAAGACGAGGGCGAGGGTGGATGAAAGCATCGAGAATGGAGGGAGGCGCGGGGTAAGGGAGAAGAGCGGCTGCTTTCATGGGTGCTAGGCCGGGCCGGCGTGACAAATGGACTGAGAGTGCCACCGGCGTCTCCTGTGTCACACTGCTGTCACTGGCCTCCTCAGTGGGCTTGTGGCCAGGCTGTAACTTCTGTCAGGTGATGTACGCCACCTGTCTCACGTCCTCTTAATCTTCTCTTTTTACATATATCACAGAGCAGCTGCATTCTCCTTAGTTCACTCTTGTAGGTACGTCTTTATTTTAATCATAATGTCCCTAACGCTTGCTAAAAAACTTATTTCTGCAATGTCCGAAGACCGCGGTAGGAGATTATAGAAAACTATACAAGGAAGTCGGGTGTAGCTAAGGCTATAGGCTTGTGGTTATGCATGGCTGTCTCTGCATTTATTAGAAAACACACACACACCGACACACACACTCACCAAATATTAGTATGTAGAGTCATACCGTTCCTCTAAACCCACTCTGATCAAAGCAGGGTTTGGAAGCACAACGTCTAATTGAGACGATGTGCTGTGGGAGGGACACTTTGATGAAAGAGATGA